TATCCTAAAAGCAACCCACTATAATGTTGAGATTTTGGACACTAACTCTTCAACTAAAAATGATATCTAGGAAGATGAAAGATTTTGAGCCATAAATGACGGCAAGATTTGCTACCTCTGAGAGTTTTCTGACAGCAACCCGCTTCAGGATTGGGAATGTCACTTTTTTTTAAATCTTGCAATCTAGGATTCTTTAAAAAATGTTCATTCGAGAGATATAATTTTTTGAAAAATTATGGAAAAATAACTTAAAATAACATATATCGTATAGAAGAAGTCTTTATTTGTAACTTCCAATAACAGATTTGGAGGCAAATTTTACAACTCATGAAAGTTCCCTGACAGCCTCCCATGATAGGTGAGTAATTTCAAATTTTGTGAAGGCAAGAAATCTGACAGCAACTTAGAAAAGTTTGATCCAAAGATTTTGAAATTTTTTTGACAAATCATAAGAAATGTGAATCTTGGAAGATAAAAGGATAATATCGCAGACCTGTTGCAAATCCTGGAGTTTTTCAATCTAAATTTTGTGAAAATTTTTCAGATATATCAAAAAAACGTCCTATCTCGGAGGCTTATAGGATTTGACCAGACAGATTTGGAGGCAAATATTGCAAATCCTGAAAGAACCCTGACATCCTCTCATCATAGGTTGCTAATTTCAAATATTGTGAAAATTTTTCATCTTAATTTTGAGGAAACTTTTCAAAAATTCATTAAAAATGTCATGTCTTGGACACTAAAGAAATCTGAGCCTTTCGTAATTGAAGGGGCCAAGTTAGCAATCCTTGGAAGAACCCTGGCAGGATACTATGAACGGGTCACTAATTTCATACTTTGTGTAGTTTTAAATTTTAACCTTTTTGAAAATTTGTCAGAAACTTCATATCACGAAAGCCAAAAGGATTTTATCAGCCATATTAGGAGTCCAAACTTGCAAATCCTGACCGTTTTTTAACAACTTCCAACAATAGAGTTGCTAATCTTAAGATTTTGTTATATCTTTTTTCATCTATACTTTGTAAAAAATTTTAAAAGTTTCAAAAAAACGTCATATTTTGGAAGCTAAAATGGTTTGAGCAGACATATTTTGAGGCAAAATTTGCTATCCGTGAGAATATTCGTGCAACATTCCATTATAAGTTTGGTAACTTCAAATTTAGGCGTTCGTCATTCAAATCTCAAAATGAAATTACTTCTCAAAACTTCACGCAATCTGTCTAGACATTTGACCTTGACCAAAGAAAAGACCTTGAGTTGATACTTATTCAAGTATTGGATTTCAAAAATATATACAAAAACTCAAAAATTTTGCTTTAACATTGTCAGTGACGCCTTTTGTTAGCCATTGTCCACTACAAAATTGCTCAAACATGGCCTCCATAGAGCATTTGGCGTTGCGTTTAAGCAAAAGTTTGCTTAGCAATCCCGCGATCATTAATCAGTCGGATTGCACAAAATTAGTTGATGCTCTGATAAAATTATTCACGGAATGAAATTTGGAACAGTTTCATTGTGAGCAATATCGTAAATTCGTTTGAAAAAATTTAAGTTTCAAAGAGAAAATCGGTTTGCTAAAAATCGAAGTTTTTAGCGAGCTATCAATTTTTGATATGTTTCGAGCACGTTGTTCAAGCAAGTTATTCGGATGGCAAAACGCTGTTCAATTTTTTTTTGGAAGTCAGTCAAGCGTTGAAACTTTGAAGTATTTTAGGCTAGTTCAGATCAAATTAGTTCACTTAGCTATATCAAAATGTGATTCTTATAAAAAACATTGTCTTTAGAGAATTAGGCAAAACGTTTAAAAAATCATTTTATAATTTAAAGTTAATATTTTTCAAGTAAAAATGACATTTCGGTCTATCAAACATTTTATGAGTTATTTGGTTATTATGCTCTCTTTAATTTTGGGTTCTATAAGAGGATCGTATTGATCCAATTTTGTCACTTATTGAATCCGTAGTTGAAGCGTCAAAATTGATTGACTAGAAAAGCCAGAAATCATCTATTTTTGGGGTTAAACTTTAGGCCCGAATTTCTTAAAACAAAATTCACCATATTAATTCTGCGAGAGTTCTACAAAACTTTGATCCGCATCAGTTTTTTGTCTAAAATCAACTCATATTGAGAACGAGCATTTTATACTCCAATTTTTTATGCGTTGTCTCCGGATATTTTCAATCATCATTGTGTTCCAGCTACGACGCTTTCGAAAAGTTATTTCGTACCCGGAATCGGATCGCGAAAAAACTAGATTTTTCTAAGCAAAGCTGTTCCAATTATGAAATATTTAAAGTTTTTTGACAGTCCGAATCGGTTGGCAAAAAAATTTTCCAGGCAAATTAACTGAGCTATGAAACTTTGAAACATTTCAAGTTATTTTATTGACTGAATCAATTCAGGAAAAAGTAGTTTTTTAGGCTATTCAAGCTATGAGACTAGGTTATAAATAAGACTAAGCTGATAGACAATACAATTCGCAAATAATTTATTTCGCAGATGAATTTGCTGGAAAATGAGACATTTGCAGTTCTTCATAGTTTTAAAAAAAAACATTTAGATTTTTGAAACGAGGTGCAATTGAGCCGACGGAATCTCTGCAGAATTTTTTTTGGTTAAGTCTTGGATTCATTCAGTTAAAAAATTGGTTATAAAATTACATCATTATTATCCTGTGATTTCAAATTGGGAGGCGAAAGTCAATCTACAGGAAGCATGTTATGCAGTGGTATAAAAAGTATCCAGAAACAAATGCATCACAGATCTTTTTGAAGATGGAGCGGCATTGAGGGGAGCGGTGGTATTAGGGTTAAGTCTCCGCCTCAGCCGTTCTTTGTTAAGAAATGAACAGCTCGTATGTTGGTCAGTCCCCCGTATATAAATATATAGTTTTATTAACATATAGCTTAAGGTTAAACTTGATTAACAACTGTTCTATTAACAGTAGAGCTATGAACACGAAGCAACCAATTAGCATGTTATTAATTTTTTTAAACCAAAAACAAATAAAATTGAACATTTTTTCAATATAAAGAAACCTTGACATTAAATGAAAAGTGATCCTTTTTATTATACACGCCTCCTATTTAGTCAACTTGATATGTGTTATAAAAGGCTGAGTGGGTTTAGCCGATAGACACCTAGCAACAAAATATTACGGCGAGCGAAACACAACTGAAAAATCTTTTTGGTTAAAATTGCTAATTGTCTATAAACTGTTTACTTTTTCACCTGCCGAAGAAATTCCGTCAAAAATATTTTAAAAATTTGCTGTACAAACCCGGGTCCATTTCGGTACTATTTTACATCAGCCATTTCCAGCTTACCAACCCTAAAATTCATGATGGCTCTTTTGGAGCAAGTTATGCAGTGGAGAGTATTTTTTAGCCAACCTTTCAAAAAGAGTATTTCGTGCACACTGTCTCAAAACAGCCTGTGACGCAAAAAAGTTGGGGCAGAAAAATTTCAAGTGTTTCTGGTAGCTCGGAAAAATATTTCGGTAGACCGAAAAAAAAATTTACGGATTTTTGAACAAATTTCTGAAAATTCTCCACCGCAAAAACTCAGACGCCCATCAGATTAATAGTTTATCTTGTTATAGTTTTTTTTGCTACGAATTTAAAGCAGAAACCTTAATTTACAAAGAATTCACAAAAAAACTAACTTGTCAAGCTTGAATTATTCACAACTTCTCCTAACCCACCTTAAAATTAAGTTTCAAACTCAAGTTAAATTAAAACCATCAACTTAACTTGAAAGCTTTGCAAGAAACCACATAGATCTCCAACAATCCTTAATCTCCCAAACTAAAACACAAAACTAAGTTTGAAACTAGTTCAAGCAAACTATTTTTATTTCACTCAGTTAAAAGTTTCTGTTTTTTTTCTCTTCTTTTTTGGTGAGTCGTATTTTTTTCAGTTTTGTTTCTCGAGTCACTTTCTCAAAAAAGTTGTCCCTCTTATGCCTTTGGGGGTGTGTGCTGGGTGGGCAAAAGATTGTATCTTCTTTTCAGGGTCATTCTATGTTTCGAGTAAGCGTCGTGGGGGGTAAAGTTGGCGGGGTGTGCATTGCTCGTGCCTGACCCTTCTTCCGTCTTATTAGCCACAGTATACACCCGTTTTCCGTTTTCATCAATGTAATATCGAAGGTACATTTCGTCAGCTTTCAAATTCAAATCACTGATCTGAAAATTGAAACACAAAAATTACGCCCTTGAACACTAAATTTTTATTTTTCGAATAAATTATCCCCTGAAGTCATTTCCCTCAAATTCTATCCTAAATTTATCCTCTGAAGTTACCAAAATGAAAATGCCTAGTTACAACTAAAATTATCAGTAAATTGCTGTCTGTTTTCAAACGCAAATAGCTTATCTGACATAAAAATAATAGCTTAATAGAGGTATTTTTATGGTAAATTTGAATTTCCCCATCAAATCAAAGAATAATTACTGAGAGGAAGCAAAACAAACATTACCAACTATAATTTCCAATGCATCTGCGTAGCAATCAAGATAAAATTTGTCTAGTCTTGAAGACAAATCACTTTTCTGCGCAGAAGAAAAAGGGACCTTCAGATTTTATAATTTCCTCCTGAAAATAAAATCGATCACTTAAAAAGCAGCTAACATGTTTAGTTTCCCACTGAAAGTAGCTTTATTTCCCTTTGCGTCACTGACTATTGCTCATTACTGGGCAAAAAAATAGGGTCAAAACAAATGCATACAGGTCATGGAGTCAGCAGTGCAATTAAAAAAAAGCAGAGCAAATTTCTAAACCATAGCTTAATCAGCAAATTTACAAAGAAATCGCTGCCATTATAGCTCAAGGTAGTTTCAAATAAACTAGGTGGAACCCAGCCTTGAATAAAGAAAGAAACCGAATTATAAAAATAAATATGTTTTGACCATTTAATAGATCTACTTATTGGTCAATCTTCTTAAACTCGAAGATTTAAGATTTTTTTTTCTGATTAATATTCTCAATCAAAAATAACATATCTTGCAATTAACAATTCAATTTAAGACTTGAAAGCACGTATCGAGTCCTTGTAAAACTTAGCATAAAATGGAATTGCTTCAAAGTTTTCGTTGTCCAGTGAAAACCAGTTAGGGTATCTTTTACCCTCAGAAGGTTCGACCCATACTTCCTTGCAATTTATTCTAGTTATGTTCGCGGGTGATAATATAGTATACCCAGCAGTGGGGTCTCTGAACCGGAATAAAGATTGAGTGAAAAAATCGAGTCCTGAAGCCCCCGTTGAAACTGATATTTCAATGCAATCTTTACCCGGTTTGAACACAATCTGATCAACATCAATCAAAGTACGTGAACGAACAATTGAACACTTTTCATTCACAATTTTATCAAACTTCAGAACTTTATTCGCTTCCAAAGCAATATCTTTGTTTGTTGTACTCGCACCGAACAAGCCACGATTTTTCGAGCTCAATTTTCTCTTGGCATTTTCTATTTCATCTTTTTTGCACAATTTGCACCCTGAGCAAACATCTGTCCATTTGATATTCAGGCCAATTTTTCTATCTTTGTACGCAAATGTTGCCTTAGACGTCACAAAAAGCTTCTTCAGTGGTCCGAAATACCAAAACTTATCCAAACTTGATTGGTCCAGCACATCACGATAGGGTCCAAAAGACACCCCTACTGCACTGAACACATTTTTAAACTTCCTCGGGGATTCCCCATCAAGTAATTGGTCAGCTTTGGGCATTGGAATGACTCGCATTAGACTAACAGGTTGGGTGGAATTAGCAAGAAATGAGTCAGTGGCTGAGATGATGTTTTTGATAGTGTGCTTTGGAGTGTAAGTTCTGTGATTGATGACTTTGTAGAGTGAATTGTGTCTGTAGCCGACGGGAGCGATGAGAAGCGGTAGTCTTTGAATCTTTGCTTCACTAGACAGAATTCCTAAGCAATACAAGTCAATTGAAATCAAAATAATCATAACAAAACCTGATACAAGCCTTGAATGATCTATGAGAACACAGACCCATAAATCCTCCCCGGTGCTTAAGTAAATTATAAGCTAATAAACCGCAGCTTGCCAAAATGACAAAGTTAGTTCCTACCACAAAATTTATCGAGAAACTTGCAAAAAACCTTAGACTTATTTCCAAAGGTTTCTTGCGTAGCATCTAAATTGCGAGAAAAACTTCATGAGCCTCAGTTTCTTCCCACTCTGAGAATTCAGAACAATAAACTTGCTTTTTTCCCAATCAATTTCAGATAGCAGAAAAAAACGCCGTATAGACTTGCGTGTCAAACCGCACTTTTACAACTTTTGAGTAAGCTCTCAGTCTAAAAAAAACATTCAAATTGACCTGAACATTATTGCATTTGACGCACTTACAGCAAAGAATCACTCTAAACGAAATGGAATTTTTAATGGTTTCTGCGAATGTAAGGATATATGTAAGGCTATCAAGCCTGTCTTAGCATAGTCCGTTTCTATTATTTCCCCACATTCCAAACAGTTATTTTGTTAAGCGAAGCTCTTTTTAGCAACTCAAGGTAGTTTTTTTCTGCGTCTAGAGCTTTCACGTAGTTCCAACATTGCAAACGAAATTGATCAGGCTGCGATAGACTTGAAGGTAGAGGTCAGATGAGAGCTCGTCCTCACACACTATCATTCCCATGGCAGGGATCGATTACACAATCTGACGATCACAAATAGAACGCCATACCACTATGCCAAGTGCCTCTAAATTTTACAGAATAGTTGGCGAGGCAAATGAATTTTCCAAATAATTTTACATTAGTTCCACTATCGAACCCGTGCACAAAATTAACACAGAGGCGAAGTTGCACTTCGCATACGCAAGCAAGAATATGACCGATAACGAATACGACCGATATCGATAAGGAAAAGCTGAATGAGTAAAACTTTGAATCTACTTTGAAAAACTTTGAAAATTTCTTAAGTGAGGCACGCCAATTATGAGTCGACATAATTGCTAAGTGATGCAAATCAATTATGACGCATTAGCAAAACCAGTCAATTTTTAATAAAATTTACCAACAAACATGCCTCAATTTATAGAGCAGACGCATTTTAACTAGTATACGAAAAAGTTCATTAAAAATATCCCACCCTGCCCAGGTTCGAACCCTCTTATTTTGTTGCGGGAATTCTTCTCTACCTCTACGCTAGAGATCCATGATACCTTGAAATTATAGCGCTTTTGTAATATAATAGTCTCTGTTAATATCCTTAGCATTGGCTGTACTTAATAGCTGGTTATTGTTCTAAAAGAACACAAAAATTTGCGACTTAGGTTGGAAAAAAAATAGATTTGCTTTGCTTATGTAAATACCAATCCGATATCTAAAAAAAGTGTCAGTTTGAAAGTTCATAAAAAGTTTAGCCAATGCTACCTGTGATGATTTCATTGACAGTCCCGTCTCCCCCTGCAGCCACTATAGCCTGTGAGTCATCACACACACTCACCAACTCCTTCCCCTCCCCCTCTTCCTCCATCTTCACCACACGCACGTCCTAAACAACTTCCATGAATGCCCCAAACAGCCCGAACATCTAAGAGCTTTAAAACTAGCATGTAGCAGAGACTCGCAAGTGTTCCACGAAGAAATATATTACATCGGATTTTGGTGTGCCATAAAAATCCATAAACCAAGGAGGACCCCCGCACAGCATTCTTACCTTTGTCATCATTTTTAATTTTCTTTATCTATCTTTTATTATCTAGGCTACTCAATAAATCATAATTAGTATTTAGCAGAACTGTTTTGGATAAAAAACACGTTATGTCTGCACAATGATGCTCATAAAGAAAAACTCAGAAGCTGAATGCTGTTTTTGAAAAAACTGTCGAAAACTACACTTTCGCGAACAAGATATCCGTCAAAAAGATTTAAAGTTGTTCTGGTCAGTTTTATGATCCTAAAATAGCGAGGTTACTTCCCTCTTAAAAAATTGAGGAAACCTCGATTGATCTGTGCAATTGTTTATATGTCGACAGAATAAGTATTCAAGGAGTGTGGTTAACTTTTAACTTAGGTTAACAGGATCTCTTATAACAATATGATACTGATTGCTTCGTCCAGTTTCAATATAATGAGGAGGTTAATCACATTGGGAAGCAATGTTTATATCATTTCAAAAAATGATTGAAGCTATCAGCTAATTTAAAGTCACTGCTATATATCTGGTGAAAATCAGCTTGAAATTTATCGAGGGCAAGATGTTTAAATCCACAAAACTTCAACGCGTAGCTATTTGAGAAACAAGCCACAAAATATTTCGGTTTTTTTTGCTCGCTTCATTGCAGCTAAATCTTCACCGTAAAATTACTATATCTGTTTTTGACCCGTGTGGAACCAAATTTGTTTTCAGTAGTTACAGTATTTCTATTAAAGTTTCGGCTATTTCAAATCAAACATTTATCAAAATCAGACTCAAAATTTTCTAGACCGTACTTTTACAATCATAAAAAGTCATTACTTTGGTCGTCTTCTTAGGCATTCAAAAACATGAGAAAATTATCAAATGGTGATCGGAGTATTTAACAGGCTCTGGTTCAATAGCAGAACATAAATAGGGGTTTGTTGAGATCAGTAGGTCAGATCCAATATTGAACAAAATTCACTCACTCGATTTAGTCGCAAAAATCAATTTTCCAAGCTGTAATGAAACACCGCAAAATCGAATTTACCTGATGCAATTAACCACTCCCATTCAGTGCAAATTGGCTGCAAGGGACGACTTGATGCCGTATATTTTTCAATTGTTTTTAACAATACAAAAGGAGGAGCGATCCTCAGTCAGGCTAAAGTAATAAAATCTGGAACCTCATCCCAACATACGCCCCGTCTGATTTTCTAGTAGCTTTGCTCAAAAATCTTTTCATCCCAAACTGGATGACTTTTATGTAAAAAAACTTGGTAATCGCAAGTGCTTCAAATTTATCCAGTTGTTTAATTTAAACTCTTGAGATTTGCTGAGAAGATATCAGTTCAAACTATCACCAGAAGTCTTAAACTATTTTTTGATTGCACGACGTTGAGAGTTCGTGGATGAATTGTCATTTTAACAACTTACAATTAGGCTAACGCATACAAAGTCAATGTTGCCTACGGCTTAAAGACAGAGCCCGAAAATTCCAAGCTTAATAACCCACTATTTCCTCTATTCAGAAATTTTTGAACGCGTGGCTATTTGATGCAAGCTCAAATCTTATTTGAGCTAATACTTTTTTCATTTTCTTTCGAAATGAAATTTTGCTCAGTTTTAAACAATCATTGGAAGCTGCTTCAATTTCCAGGTACGGGTTTTCGCACCTCATTCCATCAAAGTTTCGAAGCATTCACTTCATTGCGGCAAAAAGCAGCGTAGACGCTCAAAAAACACCCAAAAACTAAACTTTTTGTTATGCCAATCTTGTTCCTTTATAAGTTTGTGGGTAACTAACCATTGCGGCCAGGTGTAACATGGGTAGGAGTGACCTCTCGATCTGTGCCAATGCCTTCTGATTGTTCGCAGACGGATTCACAAACACTGTCACCTTAGGCTGCTTCTCAAATGACGACCGCAGACGCTGAAGTTCAAATCCAACAAAAATTCAAATTCAAATCTACAATCCCCTGAAAAATTAACCTAGAGACGATATGAGTCTTTATACTCCCCCAGAAATGGGGTGAGATTGTTAAGAAGAAAGGGGGAGATTGTTAAGTAGAATAAAACAGTCGACAAATTGTCGACCAATCAGAATGCAGCAAAATTAGAATTCGCAAAAGAAATCTCTGTGCTACTTTACTGTATTTATTCACAAGGGGAGATTTTTCAGTAGATACCATAGGGTGGAGGAGATTGTTAAGTAGATCGTGAGCGGAAAATCACAAAGCGGAACTTTAAAACGAAATATGTGACTTGCATGAGAAAAAACGCATCGTACTCTTACAAGATCCGCTTTTATCATTAAGGTATATTTTGGATGAAAGTATGACTTTTATTACAAAACTGACAGTGCTTTAGATGGGACAGTACAACAGTGCCAAAAAAACGTAGTTCAACATTGCGGAAATTAATTTGAATAGTTTTTACTGATCCCAAATCACTGGTAAGAAAAAAATCAAAACGACGGAAGTTGAAAAGTCAACAATGGTCATTTTAATCGATGCCGCTAAGCAAACAAAATCTCCGCAAGAGCGGCGCCATAAAATTTTCTGAAAAAGCAACTAACTCTGCAAATCGTCAAAATTTCTTCTTGGTTTCGCTCCCTTCGAAAAAAACTTTTTCAAACAAATTGTCGAAAATTCGCAAACATAACTCAGAATTTTCAAAAATCCTCATTTTTCGATACTTGAACACATTTGCAGTTTCGGCACTGTTGAATGTCCGCTTTGGATTAAAGTATGGTTCGTCTAAAAATCAGTTTTTGATTCAATTGATCATTTGTGGTATTCATTTTAAGCTTCTTCTCAAAGTTGACTGAGGAAGGTATTAGTAATTGAACAACCCTATTGAAATTTGATTAAAGGTTGTTGAAAGGCGAGTGAAGAGGGTCATTGAATTAGTGGAGAATATTAAATCAGTATTTCAAGCTCACTTTTTTTCTTTTCAAATAGGAATGGTTTGAAGTAATTCCTAACATATTTCTGCCCTTTATCTTCTTTTTAAATGATGGGCAGGGGAAATCTGAAAAATAAAAATCACACTCGAACTTAGAAGTCGATCACGTCTTTCGTGACCTTAACTTTTTTGCTGTTCGATAGTAAAGTTTGCCTTCCTTTTAACAATAGAAATTCACTGAACTTAAAAAGAAATCACAAATCAAACTGCGAAATCTAAATTGAGAGTGAACAGATTTTAAATTTTTTCTTGAAAAAAAATCATCGCAATCTATATAAGAGTCTGAGCAGCATCGACTCTTCAGAACAGCAAAAAATTCCATATTTTGTATAAAGACTTAAAACAATGTGACGTCACGCTAGTCTCCTTTCAGCCTGACTGATAATCAATTATTCAAACTGAATCGTTGAATACATCCGTAATTATGAAATAATCAACCACTGTTAAATGCTCATTTACATTGATTGACAGCCAGAAGTCCATCAGAAACATATAATGATTTCAATTAAAAGACGCATTCTTTTCGCCTTGAGCTTCAAAAATGGAAATTTCATTTCCCCAATTGTGGGAAAGGGGGTTTAATCAGCTACCAGTTACATACTGCTTTAAAAAATGTTCAACACCAATGGCTCGGTTGAGAAGATAAAATTTTTCTACATGGTCTAATTAAAACTTGGGGGAAAAGCGATCAACTTTCAGGACTGACCTCCGAGTTGTAAGTAACGCTGAGAAGGGAAATATATGCTGCGTTTTTATTAAAACCATTTGCAAAACTGTATGCAAATTTTAAATATCCAGGAAACTTAGGAACAACGATGATTTAGAAAAGAATAGCTAAAATACTGTTTTAGATACTTGAAAAATGTTCTATTTTGTTCGATTTTTTGGAAATTTTTTCCCCCTGTTTGTCAATTAAATCATAAAACATTTACGCATACCCTGAATAAAACATCGCTTTCTACCATGGCGTTAAAAAGTCTCAAACACGAAATCATTTTTCTCGACACTGGGAAAAAAACTTGACATAATTTTTCTCAATCCGAATCACATTGAAAGGGCTTTTTTATGAATCAACCCCCGATGCCTTGACATTTTATTTTGAAGTACGTACCTGAGATTGTGCGGAAAAGATTACTTCGCAATAGAACTCGAAAATCGTTGAACCTAACCCCCACTTAAAATTATCGTTGGTAATTAACGCAAAAAAGAACATATTTAACCCGTAGCGAGATATTTAAGTGGTGAAGATTTCTACTTCTGAATCGAAAGGCCGATCGAATCGAAGGATTCGAATTGAGAGAATGCATTGCTCGAGAATCAGACAACAATTTCTACTCCAGAAAAACAATCGCAAATTGCACGCAGATACAAAAACGGGCATAGCAGCGGTTTTCCGTTAGAAGCTGAACAGCTGACAAGTTGGCCAGGGGCGGATCTAGGATTTTCTCGAGGGGGGGGGGCGGATTTTCAAAAAATTTTCCAAAATTTTGACGACCTTTTTTTTTTTTAGGTCGACCAAATTGATTTTTCGAGCTCTACCAAAGCACTGTTTTGCCCCTATTTTGGCTAAATTTTCTGCGCCGCAGGCAAATTTTTGAAAAAACAGTCAAAAAAGCCGTTTTTGGGCACTTTTTGAAAAATTTTGACAAAAAAATCGCTTTTTTTTTGGCGCGCGCTCCCCCTCAAAGTTAGTATATATTGGCGCCAAAGCCGCCTTTAGAAAAATTTTAAGGTCGGCCGGCCAAAAATGGATTTCTGAAAAAGTATCAAAGGGGAGACCCTTTGGGTCGGCAGGGGGTCGAATCCCTGAGGGGGGGGGGGGGGGGGCGTCCGCCCCCCCCCTAAATCCGCCCCTGAAGTTGGCCCTTTATCTAGTGAATAAGGTGGTATGTAAACCAGCCAAAGTATAAACCAACCTATAAAAAATACCAAAGTGTTACATAACAGTTTTGTAACAATTATGTAACAGTTACGAAAGTTATGCAATTTCATTCATATGATGTAATTTTTCGGCTGGCTTCTATACTCCGGGCATTTTTGGTTGTTTTATACATCGGTTGATGTATTTACTCTCAGTGAATAAATAGTATTAAATCCACCTGTTCGCCTAATTGCTTGGCCCGTTTGCATGCCTCTATCACGAGCAGTTCTTCTTGGTATCTGTTATAGGCCAGGTTGGATAGAAAGTACACAATAGGCGACGCAATGGCCGCCTTTTTCCAATGACGTCTGAAGAATCCAGGCAGTTTCGCTACGTAAGAACTAGAGACATCATGTTTCTCAATTATGTAGATACCGTCTCCCCTTTCAGTCATTTTGTCGCACTTAAAGGCTTCGCATTCACTTAACGGTCTTCATTTACCGTAATCTGAAACTCAGAAAATGCAGATAATGGAAATTAGACAACAGATAAACAGACCACCAGATAAAACTAATTTATAACTGCTTCCCGCTTATTCATTTAATGGGAATAAAAGTCTATTCTTTTTTAATGATAATAAGTAAATTTTGAGTAAATTAACCAACATAATCTTTGCAACTGAACAAGAAAGAAAACCAATTGCTGTGCAAGCAGCATAGAAAGTTTGGACCTCAGCTGCTATTGCAAAAATTGGATCTCTTTAACTAGATCTTTCAGGTCTGCGTCCCACCCGCCCTCCGTGACTTATCTTGCTTTCGAGAAAAGTTTTTTGTTTCACCTTTACCCCATCTCAGGTCGGTTACTCTTGAAAAAAGTCCTACTTGAAACGTTCGCATTCACTTTGCCCCCTACGGGCGCAATGGTGAAGCCAATTTTTTCTTCTCACTGAACTTCTTCTCCGAACAGTTCACATAAAACATTACTATGGTTTTATCTGAAATTTGCCGTGTCCAGCTGCGACTCCGACTTTTTTCACGTCACTGGTGTTCCAACAATAGGACCACATGAGATTCCCATTCAGATACTGTCACAATTTTGAAAAAACTGATTTGATTTTTTTTTGCCGTTTTTTGCAAAATAAACTAATTACTTCATTCGAATTTAAAAAAAAAAAACGAAAAACCCTTAAAGATAGCAAGACATTATTGTGACTGTCGTCTATATCTGTTCTCTTTGTTGGAGGTCAATGATGCTCCCTAAGTGGGACCACAAGGGTCCCAGGGAGCATCAGTAAATGCTTTGGATAGTATGCCATTTTTGATTAAGACAAAATCTTTGGCCAATTGTGTTTTTTTTCACAGTCCCTTATCCACTGCAAATGTAAAGACTAATTTTTGTTTGAAGTTTTAAAAAATAATAATAACCTTTTCATTTGTGATGACTCGTATCACTCATAAATCAATGGAAGACTCTGACTAACCTTCTCAAGCTTGAAAATACATAAAAAAAAGATTCTGGTTATTTCAGACTGCTTTTTTTGTTAAATTTCAGATAGATTTTGAAAACTCTTTCTTCAAATTGTATGTCTGCCGAAAAAGAACAAAAATTACAAACTGAAACCATTTTGGTTAAATTAAGGCTCTTCACCCACCAAACTCGAAATTGCGAAGCTGAAACGAACAATCGACAGCCCATTTTATAAGTTTTGTTTTATTTTTTTAAAACATGTGTCATATATTTTCAAAAGCAATTTATTAAAGTTTCATTTTTTACCAGAATAGTAAGTCCGAAAAAAAACCAGATTTTTGAATACTGTCAAAAAATAAGGTGGCAAGTAGTTTTACCAATGGAATCATAGTATATGATTAAGTTCAAAATAGTTTTCATTACCATTGACTAGACGCTTACTCAATTTGAGAAATGTCGTTAATAACTTTTTTGGAAACATAAAAAACGGATAATGGAAAAGTTTTCTTCAAACTTATAGAAAAGAATTGTATGAGAAAAACCATTACTAATATCACGTGTAAATTACGAGAGTAGATTCAGGCCACATGCAAAATTTCAGCAGAAACACTCAAGCAATTTTGAGAACGAAACAATTGTTCCAGAAATTGACAAAGTAGTATATACACCAATTTTACCATAAATCGTCAAAATAAAAAATCGCAAAAACTACAAATTTTATCCAATTTTGACTTTTAAATACGCTATACCGACTAAATTGACTATGGTAAGCTCGAATCAACCATCAAAAACCATTTTTAATCGTTTTGAATTTTTTAAGTTTTTTTTCCATCAAAAAGTTGAGTCAGAAATGGGAAAAATGTTTTTTTTTCAGAAAAACAAAAAAAGTTGTTCAAAATTAACTAAAAATCTAAGCCACATTTTTTGAACCTACTCAGAATGGTTCAGGTGACTGAAGCCGTAAAAAGTACCCAATTCGAGGAAATTCGAAAAAACTCTTTTTTCAGCACTTTGAAAAAGTGGAAAAATGGAAAAAATGGTCTTCAAACAAATAGGATGAAAAAGTGATCAGTAAAAGCATCGATGCCGTGTCAAATCAGGATCGCATGCCAATTTTTTAAACAATCCATCGGGTTTTTTTTAAGAACGAAACCATTTTTTGACAATTTTAGTAGTAGTATTTACACTAATTAGTACCATATATGGTCAAAATTCAAAAATACCAAAAACTACAATTTTTATCCAATTTTGACCTTCAAATACTCTATACCCACTAAATTGACTATCGGGAGCTCGAATCGATCATCAAAAACCACTTTTAATTACTTTCAAAATTTTTTTATTTTTCAAATCAAAATGTTGAGTCAGAAATAGGAAAAAACAATTTTTTTCAAAAAGTCAAAAAAAGTTGTCCCAATTGAATAAACTCACTAAGCCACACTCTATGAACCTGTTCAGAATGGTTATCATGACCAAAGCCGTAAAAAGTACCCAATTTGAGAAACTTCGAAAAATCACCTTTTAGTTAACTCAAAAAAGTGGAAAAATCGGGTAAAATGGGCTTCAAACCGATAGGATCGAAAAGTGACCTTTATAAGAAATGATTGCCGTGTCAAATTAGGGCCGCATGCAAAAAATTAGACAATTTTAACGGAAACTTTCTGAGAACTTGATAAATATGGTCATTTTGGTAAATGTATAATTTTAGAAATTTTTTGTCCGGAAGGGGCCCCTACCCCTTCCTAAATGCTTTTTGTGCTACACGCGACCATCTAGTTCCGCTTTTTTGCAAAAGGGGGAGATTAGTTTCTAGGTACAAAATCTACAGATGCTTGACCATTGAACTATTTCTTCATAGGGGTGGCAATTTTTTAATAGGCGCCCTAGGGTTGGGGGGGGGGGGGGGGGGGAGGGGGAGAATAGTTCCCAAAAACTAACAATAATTTACAATTTTCGCATATTTTCTATTCAATTTCTTCAAGTAGGCTTCATGAGCTTTTATTGAAAAATGCTTCTCAAGGCATAAGTTACATGAAGACGCACATGGCGACTGCCGGCTCTCGTGCTTAAATTTCTACTAATATATAGCTAATACTTCTCGAATTCTGATAATTAAGTCAATTAGTCATAAAAAAACTAGTTATTCAAATAGATTTATATCAGTGTTGCATTATCAATTTTTAGCATGTCCAACAGGGTGAAGTTCATCCAAGCTGCGATCTCCGATTTTTGCGCAATTCTGTTCGGTTTGAAATTTGTTCGTCTAGTTGAGAGCTTGTAATTGTATCACGTGACTGCTCTACTGATTCTGTCACGTTTTTCACGTGACCCGAGTCTAGTTCAGGTCTGTTTGAAGGGTGCAAAGGGTGGTCTGCAAACTCCACGAGATCCAAATACATTGCAGGTAAGGATTGATTAGGCTTAAATGGCTTATGATACACCCACACGCAATCAATTCCGTTTCCGTACGTGTAGTTTGGCGCCCATTTCAGAAATGGATACCGACACACTACAAACTTAGTTGCTTCTGTGCACTCTTTTGTCACCTTGGGTTCCAGGGCTTGCATCAGAGTCGGGGCTCCGAAGATGGTGACAGCATCATACTTTCCCAAATCTTCTTTGAAAAGATTCCTTCGTTTGAATGTTGTGTTTGACCTAAACCCACGCGTGTACTTTCGGAAGTTGGACCACATCCATAGTACACTATTCAATTCCACGCCTGTTGCCTTGTACCCGTCTTTAGCGCATGCAAAACACACTCTGCCATCGCCGCTTCCAAGGTCGAGCACCTAAAAATCATTGTCTTATGAAAAGTCCAAGGTCAAGCATCTGATAAGTTCTTCTTTACACTCCACATTTTATAGATACTCAAGAAAATTCTATTATTTATGTCACATTTTTTATTTAATATTCAGTTTAAAGTACACTTCAATTATGAAACTGCCTAACTGCTGTGATTATTTAACACTAGTTTTAGACAGAAGCTACCCATTAAATTTTATACCTAACTCTTCACACTCTAAAGAATTGCCCGAATATACAATCTTATATCCATGTATTATATTTGGATAACTTCGGAGCGAATGACATTTAGGAGATGCAAAATACTGACAGCCGCCAAATAATTAACATAATTCAGCACCCAAAACAGTCAAGTTCAAGAATTCGAAAAAAAATCCGGACGACTTATTATCATACAACTGGCTTAGCATACTCGCAATTTTCAAAAATGTGTCCATAATAACTTTGCAAACTAATACAGAAGCGGTTCGCTTAGCATACTTTCTTTCGCAGTGAGAAAATGTAAATTAGCGTCTGAATTAGACATTAAAATATTATCTTGCAGGATTTTAGATTACGTTTTACTTAACTACTTTTTGGCAATATACTTTTTTTAGCAAATAGACTTCATTTGGAACATTTTGAAAAACTAGCATTCACCATATCTAATACCTTTACCCGTTATCCTAATTGTTGCGACAAAATTATTACGAGTTTCAGAGATGAACACTATTGATGTTGATTGTACTCCGATATGCGTACTCCAATATCCAACACCAACATGAAACCAAAAAATTAGATTTGAGCCTCCAAATGATTATAATTTGATTCAATTTTCAAGATAGATTGCCTCTAACTTTTCCATTTGGACGCGCGTGTGTCTTGAGACACTGCAGAATATTGTTGATCTGTACAGGTGTAGCTGGAACATAGGGCACACACACTTTCCTCACAGCTGGAATACAGAAGGGAATCGTGGCCACAGTTAAGCCCAGCGCAGCTCCTCCCACTACCATCACCTGTTCACACAGACATGCAAAGTAAATTTAAACTCAAGGTGGCTTTTTCTGATGTCTTCTAAAATTTCTTAGGTGGTTTTAACAAGACGAAGAAAAAACCTTTCACACAAAAACCGGTTCACAGAGTTTATCTGAACCAATTTTGTTGTCAAATTTCTTGAAATCTGAAAGCTAAGCGTTTACAAAAAATACAAAATTGATACTCCAATTGTTCCGTAACAAGTAACTATAGTGTTTGACATGTTTTCAAGTCGTTTGTTGCAAAACTACGAAACATTTTGCAATCAGGTGGATTCTTTTCGAGGTCAAAATTTTGAATAGTGGAATTAAAAACGTTACCAGTTTAATGCCCGTCTTGCGCAGTTTCTCGTTCTGAGCTACTTTGGCAGCCGAGTCTGGTTTGCTCAGAGCTGCGAGAAAATCTTTCTCATTTTTAATTACAGGCTCGCTCATTACACCTGAAACATTTCTATAGTCACATTTGCTTCAGGACCTCCTTAAGCAGATAAATCAACCTTCACATAATCAAAACAACAATAATAAATAAACGTCTTCTAGTTGTTCCGACGACCACATCCTCTCTCCGTTGACCAACGAGTAAGCTTTCTTACAAGATCCCTCTTATCAGCAATTTGATTCCACGAAAAAAGTTTTAATAGTTTTAGTATCGAGATTGGTTCCATGACAATCTACTCGATGCCAATTTACCCTATGCCATTCTACCCTATACTAATCTACCCTATATTCCAATCTAGCCTATGCCAAATTACCCTATGCCAATATACCAATATACCCTATGTTCTATAAATAATTCAACTGGTCAGAGATAACTGAGCTTCCTATCTCGGTTTAAGGTCGCTGGTGGGCGCGCTACGCACGCGTCGCGGCGATAACCGGCTCTAATTTTTGTATAGAGTCCTACCCTCTGTAGGCAAGCGCGCAACACGTTGGCGCGACTACGGCGATCACTTTTTTGGCGTATCATTCCTGTTATCATTCCGTCTTAATTTAGGCGTACTGTAAATTGGCGTAGATGGGCATAGAGTAAATTGGAACATAGGGTAGAATGGCATAGGGTAAAATGGAATAGGGTAAATTGGAATAGGGTAAGTTGTCCTGTTACCTCGAGATTCACTGCTTGAATACTTTTGATACTCAGACTAACTTACTGCTCGAATGATTAGTAAAAGGCGTGGCAATTTGTTCACCTGTGCAATTATCTGACTCAGGAGCGGATGCAGTATGTTCTCGAGGGGGCCGATTTTCAAAAATTTTTGATCAACCCTTTTTTTCAGGTCGACCAAAGATTTTCCGAGCTCTGCCACATGACTATCAGGACCCTATTTTGACCAATTTTTCTCATTTTATACTGGTTTGTCTATTCTGTTAATCATGTTCCAGCTAATCAAGGGCGTATTTAGGATTTTTTCGAGGGGAGGGAGGCGGATTTTCGAAAACTTTGTCGACCTTTTATTTTATTAGGTCGACCAAATTGAGTTTCCGAGGCTCTCCCAAAGCCATAACAAAAACCCTATTTTGGCCAACTATTTTTTGCGCCGCAGGCAAAATTTTGAAAAAAAAACAGGCCAAAAAGCCTCTTCCCTCTCAAATTTATCAAATATAGGCGCCTTTAGAAAAATGTTGGGCTCCGTCAGCAAAAGTGGATATCTCAAAACAGTACAAAGGGGGACCATTTGTTTCGGCATGGGGTCGAATCACTGAGAACATAAGGTCGAGCCCCTGCAGATAATTTTAGTTCATTTTTGAAACCAAATTTTTTTTCTTGCAAGGCAAAATATTTTCGTTTTTTTTGATAACTTAAAGTTTTTTACAGTTCTAAGTTGGTCGGAAAATTCTTTGTATTAATTGCATAGCTATCAGTTACCCTTATTATCTACAGCGAGCAGCCTTAGCTCCTGAGACCTAGAGTTCATTTACAGGAGGTCAACATCCTCTTTTAATTTAGGCTTATTTACTTTAACTTCTGCCAGCTAAAAATAGAAATAAGAACGCTTTTGACATTATCACCAATAGTTCAAAAGTTATTTAGTTCAAACTGTTGCATAAATTAGTGCCAATCGAATGTCAAATCCAACTAAATTACGACTATGACGAGACACCAGGAAAAAAAGACTCCCTTTATTCCCAGTGGCGTTATTTTAAAGTGGAATTTCATTAAATGCTTCTATTTCGGAGTCAGCGGTCGTTAATTTAATTGAATCTGCAATTGACAGTTGTTTAGTTTGCTTTTTTTTGTTGCTTCTGCAAAAATTATTTCATAAAGGTATGCAAAAGCAAAGAAACAACAGATTTTATCGCTGCCAGGCAATCTTTAATTTAAGTAGTATGTAAGAGAAAACAAAAGGCAAGTTTGAAATCACTACGTATGTTTACGAGAAAATCTGAAATATAACGAGCACCATGGCTGGGTTCATCCAACCGAAACCAATAACAAAAAATACAACTAGACACTAAACCAAGATCCCTATATCTAACAAACCAAAGGCAAGACAAAAATTTTGAAAAAAGGTGTAACAGATCCATTGAACGACCTTCCGCGTCACCAGAAGCGGCCATTGAAACAGCTTAACTGACTGTCAAGAGCACTGGACGCTGTTTGCATTAGCAGAGAACATAACAAGCATCCGGGTTCAATGCCCATGGACTTTTATAGCGCAATCCTTTAAACAGTCTTTAATGACTAACAAAAAACAAGAAATGAACGAGGATAGCCAGTAAATGTGCAAGTAGCACAGAATGGTCCGGCCTTAGTCTTTAAAAAACACACACACAAAAAAAAACTTTTTTTTCAAATTAATGTCGTTTTTTCCAATAAAACACGAATACAAAGTTCCTCCCCATTTATCTAATAGCAGGAACAAAATAATCTCTAAGTTGCTTCCGTTACCAAAATCAAGCAAAGACGATTAATTATTAGACTCCTGTCGTTCCGCGTCTTATCAATAACCCGCGATAGAAAATTCACTAAAATCCACCCAATACCTCAAAAGCTGCACTTCAAACAGATCTCAACCCGAATCGATTATTCTGAGCCCCGCGGTAAAACTTTTCGAAACTGTAGCCCATCCCAATACCTCGCAAACCCTGCATATCAGCATTGCTTCCGTCCCAATAATCGACAGCTATGACTTAATCATCTATCCAGTTTCACATGAAGTGCAAAAACATTTCACCCGGAATAATTGTGCTTGTCATCACTCTGCATTTGTCTTGAGCTTCCGACATGGTTTGCAATCGCACACGGATGGAATTTCTTCATGTGACCAAGATACTTCAAAACTCAAATAGATGATTACGAAAGTATCTGAAGGGCCCGCCCGCCAGCCAAAACGCAAACCAGAGATGCTTCGTCTACATCAAAGAGCGTACATACAGTCACGGGATGGACATATAAATAAGTATACTGCAAACACTTGTTAAAGGACAATTTGGAATTGCTTTCAAATCGCTGACTTAAAATTGCTTTCAAAATCGCAGTGTTCTGAAATTACGAAAAAACTCACCAGAACCACCCAAACATTTATTAGCCACAATAGAAAAAATTCGAAGACAAACAGTAGACCATGGTTCAAACTATCAAAATGAATAATAATGTAATAAATAATAATGGTATATAATTAAAAACTTATAAAAACATGTATGTAACCATATTTCATTTGAGGGCCAAACTAGTTAATTTCTGCTTGGTACAAATCTAAGATAACAGGAAAATGACCAGAGAAACTGCAGAAACTGCAACTGACGCCAGAGATAATGTGACCATCATAAAATTACAGGACAGACGACGCATTTACTTGCGTTTAGATAATGCAAAAATGATAACTAATTAATTCCTTGACTTATAGCGACTCTTTCAGCTCTGCCACAATTGAAAAGGTAATTTCTATAGCTAAATTGTAGTTAAATTCTATAGTGACGCTACTTCATGGCGCAGAATTTTGAACTGATGCCAATGGTACTACTGCTGTTGTCTATTGATCAACTTCTTGACCGATAAAATGTGTCCTGGCGCCTTCTGCAAAAGAACTAATTGATCCGACAGGGGCAAATGTGCAGCTGACATATACATGCAGAGAGAAAACAAAAAATTATATTTGCTTTTTTATAGATGGGAAACTAAACTTCAAAGATCATATTTAGTTTGTTTCATCGAAGATAGCTATTGTTGTGGACTCATGCACCGTATCAAATAAATTCTCCGTCGAATGCACCTCTTCAATTTCTACAAATTTTTTTTATTAAACCAGTAACTCAATATGGCGTGCTTGTGTATGGATGCACATCTTTTACCAGTTTGACCCCAATTCTGAAATTAGATTGGAGATTATGCCGCAATATTTTCAATAAATGATATCGCGAAAGTGTTAAGGATGAGATGGTACAAAATCGTATTGCGTATGAAAATTTTAAAGAGGTTGTCAAACAGCTGCTTGGGACCAGAAATCTAAACCTAATTTAATTTCAAAAAAAAGGGGAAACTCGAAGCTCGTCATTAAAAGTTTTGCCGATGTTTACCAGTAGTATAAGACTAATGAACGCAAGTAAACATAAAAAAAACACTTGACTTTCTTAAATAAATCTCACATTCGACTTTCAAAGAAAAATATATATGCCCTTAAAACTCTTTGTATTTCAAGAACAATTTATGATGGGTGCTTTTTCGTTAAAATAACATCAGTAAAAATAACTGGATCAAAAAGTAAATTTTCAATTGCGCCTGGATATCCGAACATAGTGAAAAAACTTAAAGATAAATGAATGAAATTCAAATTATGGGTATAATTATTTCTGTAGAAAATAATTGATGTTTAGTCAAGTTATTGCGAATTAACGCAACAAGTTAGACAACAGAGACAAAAATGCTATTTGCATAAGAAGCCAGAAAAATTACAAATTATGTTCAGCAGAAACAAAGTCTTCGTGTGCTTTTACAACTCACATAAAAATTGGACCAATAAGATTTGAACAAACAAATGAAACTAAATATTTTAGCTGAAAATTCCCCCCATTCGCATACCATGTACCATTAAGATTCAAATACATTTCTTCATTTCAATTTTGAAATTTCGGTCTCAGTCGAATTTATTCGCCACTTACACGTAAAAGTACATTCCCAGTTTGACCAACCTTTATAAGAAACCCCATCCTAGAACTTATTATCAGATTTGCAGGAAATTTCCTTCATTTTGCTGGAAGTTTTACAGGCACTTTCTAACGAGTTTCAAAATAATTTTTAGTAAGCTTTTTTTGAGGTCAGGAAATTATGAAAAAACTTCAATTAGTGTAAGATTTCAAATACAAGTTGTGACATAGCAAAATTGTTAAACAAAAAAGCAATGACAAAAATGAATCTTGAATTTGTTTATAAGATAATTATGGATAAAAATCGTTTCAGGGAACGTTTCATTTTTTTAAATTTCGTTCATGTGAAACTTTCAGATTGTGG